CTCCTCCTTTCTTTCAAATGATCCTTCAATCTGTCCGACCACTAGCTGTGAGTCGCTGAATATCTTTACGACCTCGAGCTCTAGGCAAAGGGCTAGCTCAAGAGTAATAACGACGGCCTCATACTCGGCCTCGTTGTTGGTTGCTTCAAACTCGAACCTGAGAGCGCATTGGATCTCTGTTTGTTTGTCAGGGCTGATGATGATGACCCCTGTGCCCGAGCCCGAGGAGTTCGATGCTCTATTCACAAATATTTGCCAAGTGTCCAAATTAGTGCTCATGCTCGAGATGTCACCTGGCCCTCGAGGCCTAGGGGTTAGTTCTGCAATGAAGTCGGCCAGAGCTTGGGCTTTGATAGATGGGCGTGGTTTGAATTCTATATCAAATTCTCCAAGCTCGATTGCCCATTTCATCAGTCTTCCTGATACGTCCGGCTTTTGAAGTATATGCCTAAGTGGTTGATTAGTGAGCACCACAATAGGGTGAGACTGAAAATACTACCGGAGTTTCTGTGCTGCTATAACCAAGGCAAAGGCAAGTTGTTCCGCTAAAGTATACCTGGTTTCCGCATCCAGTAGGACCTTGCTTACATAGTAGATAGGTTGCTGGACTTTGTTAACCTCTTTCACCAAGACCCCGCTGACAGTATTTTGAGATACGACCAAGTACAAAAATAAGGTGTCACCAGGCTCAGGCCTAGTGAGAATAGAGGGAGATGCCAATGTCTGCTTGAGCTCCTGGAAAGCTTTCTCACAGTCTTCACTCCAATCAAAGCCTTGGTTTCCTCTGAGGACTTTGAAGAAGGGATAGCACCTGTCTGATGCTCGGGACATGAACCTGTTCAAGGCTGCTATCCTACCAGTTAACCTCTGTACCTCTTTCTTGTTCCTTGGTGATTCCATAGACGCCAAGGCTTGTATTTTGTCAGGGTTGGCCTCTATCCCCCGGTGAGTGATCATGAAGCCCAAGAACTTGCCCGAGGCCACGCCGAATGCACATTTTGCGGGGTTCAACTTCATTTCGTACTTTCGCAAGGTGTCGAAAACCTCTTCAAGATCTGAAATATGTTGGTCCACCTGTTTGCTCTTGACCACCATGTCATCAACGTACGCCTCTACATTCCTTCCAATCAAGTTAGCAAAGACTTTGTTGATGAGTCTTTGGTATGTTGCCCCTGCATTCTTCAAACCGAAAGGCATGACCTTATAACAGTATATGGCGGAATCGACCATGAATGATGTCTTTTCTTGATCTTCTTCGGCCATGAGGATTTGATGATAACCAGAAAATGCATCCAAGAAGCTGTACAACTTATGTCCGGACGTGCTATCCACCAAGTTGTCAATCCGTGGTAGGGGATAACTATCCTTTGGACATGCTTTGTTAAGATCTGTGAAGTCAATGCAGACCCTCCACTTACCATTGGCCTTCTTTACTAAAACAACATTGGCAAGCCAATCGGGATATTGGACCTCCCGAATGAACTGAGCGCTGACGAGTTTGTTAATTTCTTCGCGAATGACCTCCCGATGTTCTGGGGCAAACTGCCTTTTCCTCTGCTTTACTGGTCTGGCCCCTGGGCTGATGTTAAGCCTATGGACTGCAATTTTAGGGTCTATCCCTGACACATCCTCAACCTTCCAGGCAAAAACGTCAATGTTGCGAGATAAGCAACCAACAAGTTCTGTCTTTAGGGTGATGTCAAGGTCCCAATAGTCACCTTCTTATCATGCTCGAGCTCAATTTCCATCAATTCTTCGACAGGGACAAGTCTGACTTGCTGCCCGTCCTCGGGATCCATCCTTGAGATTTGCATGACGTCGTTATTTATTTCCCGAACGCTGGCAACATAGCATTGTCGGGCAGCTGTCTGGTCTCCATGGACGACCCCAACGCCATTACTTGTTGGAAACTTCATGGCCAGGTGGAAGGTAGACACAATGGCTTTAATCTTGTTCAGGAGTGGTCTTCCCAGAATAGCGTTATAGGCGGCATCATCATGTGGGAGTGATACGCCTTCTAAGTCTTCGGTCCCAAAAGTAATATCCTCCAGCTTTCCATGAGGCGTCCCAGAGGCCAAGGCATATCGTCGGGCATATTGTTTTCTTCCACTGTTGGAGTCTCCTCCCGAGGCAATACCTCCAATGATGATATTGATGGTTCCAGCAGTGGGTTGACCATCCCTTTTTGCCTCAGGGTCTTTTTCCCTGCCACGATCATTCCTCGGGCGTTTGTCGTTACCGACGTAGGAGCTCAGGAGTCCTCTTTTAATAAGGGCTTCAATCTCCCGTTGCAGGGCCTTACAGTTCTCTGTGGTATGCCTATGATCCCGATGGAACTCACAGTACTTGTTCATGTCCCTGGATTCGGGTGGTGACCTCATTCTGACAGGCCATTTCAGTTCCTTCATATCCTTGATCTCCATCAATATATTGGTCTTTGACGTATTTAAACGCGTGAACGGCGTCGGGGGAACCTCCTGTCTCTGTCTTTTCCGATGTTGTTCTTCACGGGGGTTCGGGTCATGCTGTATTTTATGCTCGACCCTGTCATGGGATGGTCCAACCTTTCTCGGGTTCAATATTTCCTCCATATTTATGTACTTCTCGGCTCGGGTAAGAAGCTCGGTGACTGTCTTTGGTGGAGTTTTGGATAAAGACATCTTGAAAGCCTCGCACTTTATGACATATGTAAGGGCAGAAACTGCTGCAGTTATGTGTAGGTCGGGAATCTGAAGTCTTTCCTTGTTGAACCTGATCATGAAGTCACGTAGGGTCTCATTTTGCCCTTGTCTAAGTTGCATGAGAGAAGCCGCTGTCTTCCTAATGCGTTTGCTGCTTGCGAAGAAAGCGGAGAACTTGTCCGCCAAATCCGAGAATGAGGCCATGGAGTTGAACTCTAAGGTTGAGAACCAATCCCTAGCAGCATTCGTCAAAGTTTGCGGGAAGGCCTTGCACATCACCTGATCTGGTGCAACCTGTAGATTCATGACGTCCGTGTATATGTTCAGATGATTGATTGGATCGGTGGTCCCATCATATTCTTTGATCCTGGGATACTTAAATCTGTCTGGCAAGGGGAATGTTAATATCTCGAGAGTAAATGGAGTGTTGGGACTGAATCTTGTCGTCCCTTTGTTGCCCTGAAGTAGGCCCGCCGTAATTCCTTCTTGAATAATCCTAGCGAGTTCCCCGGACTCCATGGTCACTGATCTCGAGGCCGAGGTCACATGTGGTATACCCGAGGCCCCTGCTCCGCCATTGTCAGGGACATGAGCTCGAGCTCGAGCATCAGCCATAAAACCCCCCTGGGGTGCCGGTGTGGGTGACGGATGCGAATTTCTTTGACTTAGCAGCTGAGTCAGTGTGGCGACCTGTTGTCTGAGCTCTTCAAAGGCTCCAGTAGTGACGACTGCCGGCTGGGGCTCTGGCACTTCTGATAATTCCTCTTGAGGAATAGGGATATCCTCAGGAGGGGGTTAGTTTAGAGCGGATGAGCTTGCGGGTGGAAGACCTAATCGTGTGTTTACCATGGCTTTTGGTAGCGTTTCCCACAGACGGCGCCAATGATGCTACCAAAAATCGTACCTGTAGATTTTCCGAGTTTGATGACTGATGAGGAGCACGAACGTGATCTTCCGATACCTGAAACAAAGGCAACGAAGTGTGTTCTCGTTGCCCCTCCGATGCTTAAGTCAGAAAGGGAAATATATGCGTGAGGCTATGTGCTGAAGAGCAATGAAAAACGTACCTGAATAATGGCCTAAGGTTCTACTTTTATAGGAGTAGGTAGTGTACTCCTAGTAGGATTGTGTTGGTTGGATGTTTTTATACAAGGGAATTTCTGTTTATAAAGAGTGTCCTGCTTGTAATGGAATTGTTTGACAAGTGGTGTCAGGGTTGATGTAGAATCCTTGGGTGTTTAGGTTTGTTTGTTAGGTACCCAGGTCTTAGGAGGCATGTTGGTGGTGTATTTCCCGAGGACTATTCTCGAGGACTTGAGAGAGAGAATGTAAATATGTCCTCGAGGTATCTCGAGGACTACGATACCTCGAGGACTTAGGGAGACCCGAGGACCATAGCAGAGAAATGAGATGGGGTATACATGGAGTCCTCGGGATAAACTCCTCGGGGTATATCAATATTGGCATAGTCAACCACCACTAACCATAACCATAACTACCACTAACGCAGCGACAATTGTAGCAACATCTACAACAATCGACCATGGTACAACAGTAGCCACCACAATTGAGTAATGAAAAGATAAATGGCATGGTTGGAAGGGCTTTTTTCCCCTTGACAGAACAAAACCTTGACACTAGTTTCAATTGCTCGACGTTGCACACGGCGACGAACGACAACATGTACAATGGCGTTTGTCGTTGTGCCTCCATCGCATTCTCAGATTTGTTTAGAGAGATAGGTGGTGATGTTTGTCGCTTCTTGCAGTGCCTTCAATGGTGATTAACGGATTAATAGAGAGAGAGTCTGAGTAAAGAGGGTGAAATGAGGAAGAGAGAGAAATCAATTAGGGGGTGCTCAGAGATTGAAATTTGGCGTTGGGTGGATGGTTTGTTATAATAAATCTGTATTTACTAATTTAATAATTATGTATTAACACCTAATTAGTGCATTTTATACTTCAGACCCTTGTTTTTGAATTTTATACTTGATATGTAGAGTTCTGAGTAATTTTCGCTTTTAAAATTGTATCTCTTAACTACTTTAAGAGAGTGTTTGGTAGGAATTTTTATGTGAAAATGCATTTTTGAATAGTAAATTGATGGGAAATGCGTGGTTGAAAAATAAGAAAAAGTTTTTTATTTATGTGTAATATTATTTTAATAAAGAATGTGTGGTTGAAAAGAAGAGAGAGAAAAATGCATTTTGATAAAAATGGATGCTAAACAGGGCCTAAATATTATTATCCAATCCGGTCCAATTTTTTATGCCCAGCCCAATACAAGTTCATCATACACCAAAGTCGGCACAAGTTATAGCCCAAAATTGAAGAACACAAACTGACTGGCACACAACAAACACGACAGGACGAAATCTAAACCCAAACCGCCGACGTTCGCCACCTGCTATGTCACGGTTTGTTCTACTTCGTACTCCCCGAACTTCCCCCCTCACTCTCTTCAGCGGTCGGCTCTCCTCCACTACATCTTTTGATCACTCGATAGCGCCGCCGCTGCCACCCCAATCGGAATCCCACCAAAGCCTAGCCCCAAATTACCCAATCCCCAAACTGCGAACTCGAACCCCACTAGAAAAACAATTTGAGTCATGGCTCCAAAACCTCAAATCCGGGTTCACTTCATTGGACGTAGACCAAGCCCTCCGGGCCCAGTCGGACCCGGACCTCGCTCTGGACATTTTCCGGTGGACAGCTCAGCAACGTTATTACAAGCACACCCACCTCACTTATCTTACAATGATTGAAATTTCCATCTCCGGTAAGAGATACCGCGTCGCCGAGACTTTAATGGAAGAAGTTCTCGCCGGCGCGTGCCCGCCAAGCCTTCCTTTGTTTAACACCATGATCAAATTCTGTTGTGGTCGTCGTAAATTATTGTTTAATCGGGCTTTTGATATTTATAAGAAAATGCAGAAATCCGGTGATGTTAAGCCTAATCTAGAGACTTATACTTTGTTGTTCAATACCCTTTTGGGAAAATTCAATAAGCTGAATGTGAGTTATGTGTATTTACATGCGGTTAGGTTGTTAGCCAGGCAAATGAAGGCATCTGGGGTTATTCCAGACACATTCGTGTTGAATATGATTATTAAGGCGTACTCGACATGTCTCGAAGTGGACGAGGCAATTCGTGTCTTTCGTGAAATGGGTTTGTATGGATGTGAGCCGAATGCTTTTACATATAGTTATATGGTAAAAGGGTTGTGTGAGAAGGGGAGGGTGAATCAGGGTTTTGGGTTCTATAAGGAGATGAGGATGAAGGGGCTGGTGCCCAAGGGTAGTACTTGTATGATATTAATCTGTAGTCTGGCAATGGAACGTAGGTTTGAGGATGCAATTGAGGTTGCATTTGATGCATTGGGAAACTCTATGTCACCTGATCTTTTGACATATAAGACTCTCTTAGAAGAGATGTGCAAGGATGGGAGGGGGAATGAGGCGTTTGAGCTACTTGAAGGATTCAGAAAAAGGGATAGTTTAATGAATGAGAAGACTTACAATACTTTGTTGAACGGACTTCATTTTCTAAGTAGAGAGTAGAAGTACTTCATCTTCTCAACTAATTTCCAAGGGTTGTGTGAAGATTTTTGGTTCGGCTGATTAGATTTTATTGCAACAAGAATGCATCTTAAGCTGATCGACTCTGTGAGGTGGTAGTCCCCCTCTGGAGCTTCCTGTTTGTCTTATTTGGATAGCTCAAGTGGCGTACTGGAAGAAAGAAGAATGGAATTGACAGGTTATCTCTGAAGCTATGTGAACGAGGGCAAAAGTTATGCCACTTACAACCTTGTCAAAGATGCTGGATGCAGAGTGGGATAGCTTTTACTAGGGAATATTTCTGTAAATTTTATGTTTGTTCTTGCAGGGATTGTAAGTTTTTGTGTACTTGCTAATAGAATTATTGATTTATACAAAATAAAAATTATAAAAAATTGCTTCATGACTGCAGGGAGTTTTGAGTCTCTGTAAGTTAGAATCTAGTTCTTTTTGTTGTGAACATCTGTAAAATTGTTTTCCAGATTCGTAATCCTTACTATTCTATAAGAACCAGTTTGGAAGAGTATTGTTTATTGTTTTGCCAAAATGACTCCGTCGTTGTGACGTTTGTTTTACCTGAAAAAAGTATTATTTTGGCCTTCAAAGTCGTATACAACATCGTTTGGACGTCTTTTTCAACTAAATGGGGGCCTTTTCCATTTTCTCTTTTGGTAGGAAAAGGACATGTCTATTGATTTCCACGAGCACGGGTTTTTTAATTTTCCTAGTTTGTTGTGTTCAATGCATAAATCTTACTGTCTTTGTAAGCCAAACTCTACTGTTGTTGCAATATGGAGCAGCGAGACTACACCGACACAGGTGTTGCAGTCGATCCATCATCCATGTAGTGATACAGAAATTATACTGAAAGTCATAAATTCGATGGCACTAGATGAATTCAGAGGCCGATCAAAACATAATTCAAGAACAAAATCTCTATTGTTCTCTCTCGTTTTGCTTAGAGGGTGTTTGGTGAGGATTAAAATTAGATTTTTTTAAATGTGTGGTTGAAAGTTATGTGATCCATGAAAGATGTGATTGATATTGATTATTTGACTTTAATTTGAATTAAAATAAGATTTTAATTCATACCAAACGGGCTTGATCCCTCTTTTCAAACGATGTTAAAATCATGTGTCCTTGGTACTTGCTCTTTTCTTGGTATCTTCTCCTTTGGTAAACAAGAATATTTTATAAGCAGAAGAAAACGATATCCTTTGTCTGAAAAAAGAACAAAGATTCAATGCGTTTACTCAATGGTGATCTCAATTTTAATCCATAAGAGGCAGTTTTGTTCTCCAATAATTGTTCAATAGAGATAAAAAAAAGTGGTTCTATTTCAAGTAAGTTCTTTTGTTTTAACCCATAGATTCGGTGTTTGAATCAATAGAGAACATTTTCTTATATATGAATTGATCTTATTCCGTTCCAATTCCTAAGTGATACCTTGGAAAAAAATATCGAATGGATCCCGAATTAATGGATTAGTGTGAGCTTATCCATATAGTTATGCACTCTTCTAGTGTGGGTTTATCCATACAGTTATGCACTCTTCGAATAGGAATCTACTTTTTGAAATATTCTGACTTTCGTAGTTTGATGGGTTTCTGAGGTCATTTCAAAAATAAATGTTGTGTTGAAGGGATATCTACCGAATTCGGTTGATTGCGGAAAGATCACCGTGGAATTGGGGAGAGTATATAGAAAAGATAGTCATTTTCTTTATATTATATTAGTATTAGTTAGTGATCCCAAACACTGGACACNGGAATTGGGGAGAGTATATAGAAAAGATAGTCATTTTCTTTATATTATATTAGTATTAGTTAGTGATCCCAAACACTGGACACAGGAGAACATACCTCTTCCTAATTTTTTGCAGACAAAAAATATAATCAGTAATTACACGTTTTTACAAGAATAGCTGTAGGGTGAAAGAACGGAAAGAAAAGGGCAATCTGTAACATCTTTTCAGAGATAGCCAAATGCATCTCTAATTGCTACTGTTATAGAAATCACTGGTGAACATGGAAGAACAAGAAGTGTCTTCATTAGCTTTCCATCTCTGCAATGCTTGTGGGAGGCTCATGTGGAGATCAATGCCGAAACTTTCGTCCTCTTCCAGGGTCGGTCTCCAGTGGTCCACCAATGGAGACAAGGCATTCACGACATGGCTCATGTGCGGCCTCTGTTGCGCTTCCCGGCCTGTGCAGTATCCGGCCAGTTCTGCTACTTTCCAAATACTTGAGAAGGTTTCTTCGTCTGGCTGTAGGGTCGGATCAAGGGAGGCACTTATGCTGTCTTTGTTTTGGATTAGCTTGCGGAACCAGGTCACTAGATGGATTTGGTCATCTGGTAACGAGTCCTCTAAAGCTTTACGGCCAGTGATTATTTCCATCAAAACCACCCCAAAGGCAAAGACATCGACTTTTGTTGTCACTCTTCCTGTGGCTGTTTGGAATTGAAGATGATGGTTTTGTTAGTCCAAGAAACCTGCCTAAACTTTCTTAAACATGGTTTGTACTTTATACTAGGAGCACAATTTTTAGAGTGGAGCATTTTACTGTCTGAAAGTCAGGTTTTAATATTTGATATCAATAAAATAAACTGATACATACCAGCATACTCTGGTGCAAGATATCCAAATGTACCGGCTAATCGAGTCTCGACTGAGTACTTTCCGTCTGGAGCACACCTCACCAAACCGAAATCAGAAACCTTGGCCCTCATGTCGTCTCCCAGAAGAATGTTTGAGGGTTTTAAATCTCGATGAATGAAACTTTGCTGCGCTAAGCTGTGTAGATATTCGACACCTCTGGCAACGTCTAATGCTATTGTCACTCTTTGGTTCCAAGTTAGTGGCTTAAGGCCCAACTCTTCAAAATGGAACAAATGCTGCCCTAATGAACCTTGTGGCATGTGCTCATAGACCAAAAGTCTCTCATTCCCGTTGTCACAAAATCCATGAAGCGCGACTAGATTTCTGTGTCTTACCTTTGTAAGCACTTCGATTTCAGCTTTGAATTCGTTCATCCCCTTATCGCTTACAATACTTGATTCCATCCTTTTAACTGCTATCTGTGTCCCGTCGTGGAGTTGTCCTCGATATACGACTCCAAATCCGCCCCTACCCAAAATGTTGTTTTCACTGAAGCTGTTTGTAACTTCTCGAAGAACTTCGATTGGGATCATAACATTCCCACCATCATGCACATGATAATCGCTCTTTTCGCTGCTACTTCGGATGGGAGTCTCACTTGTACTTGTGCTTTTAACATTTTCACTCGTCTCATTCTCCTTTTCGCTATTTCCAAGTTCACTGCCATTAACCCATTTGTATTTTGCATTGCGCTTTTTAGCGTAGCGCCTATAAATCGCTAAGCACAAGACAAGTATGACTGAAATAGCAGCAACAACAGAAACAACAATCACCCAAGCTGAGACAGAAGATTTATTCCCATTTTTCAAGCCAGATGGATTATTTGCTCCATTAGGAGGGGAATCGGGGGGCAAATCTATCCCAATGTACGTATTTCCATTTGTTTTTATTGTAACACCTGAAGAAAATTGTGGGATTTTTCCTGAAAGATTGTTGTTAGAGACATCAAGAAGCTGGAGCAGCTTCAAACTGGTCAAGCTATCTGGTATGGTACTGGTAAGGTTGTTGTCGTTCAGAAGTACAGTTTTTAATTTAGTGAGATTGGCAATGGCAGGCGATATGGTCCCGACCCAATTCTGCTTAGCAAAATTGATAACAGTCACACTTCCCTTCACATCACAGGAAATATGTATCCAATTCTGGCAAGGATTATTCCCTTTCCAAGATTGTGCCAATGCTATTGGATAATCCAATGCCCCTACAACCTCAAGCAAAGTAGTCACCTGCGGATCACATGGACCGGGTCTAGGATTACAGAAATTGTTAGAAGTTCCAAGACTCACCTGGACACTGTTCGGAAAACTAGGTTGTGGACCCTGGAATACATTGTTCTGCAACGCAACATTTTTGAGCTTTGGAAGCTTTGTAAAAGAATGAGGAATCACACCAGTGAGGAAATTATCGCGAAGCTGAATATCGTACAATTCTGTACATGCAGAAAGATCGGGAATTGGGCCAGAAAACTTGTTGACGTGAAGCCAAACCTCTGCCAACTGTGACATCGTCCCCAGGACATCTATAGTACCTGAAAGTCCTATCACCTGATTGTTGAGCCATAGATTCTGAATCCCGGAATTGGAAAATGAGAGAGGCAATGATCCTGTCAGGTTATTATATGAAAGCTTCAGGTTCTGTAAACTTGGAAAGGATCCAAAAATTTCTGGAATTTCACCTACAATATTAGCCTTTCCTGCATTAAAACCAACCAGGGATGTTGAATCCTTGAGGGTATTCGGGATTTTCCAGGGAGGGAGATTTGAGTTATTATTAATGCTGAATGTCCGTAAACTTGTTAATCCGGAGAGAAAATCAGAAGGAACAGAGCTAAAGTTATTGCCATCAAGATTGACTTCTTCGAGGGAAGCGAGGTTGGACAAAGACGGTAAAGGGCCCGAAAGGATATTGTCTTGAAGATGAAGAGTTTTGAGATTGGAAAGTTGGTTCAAATTTGATGGAATTTGTCCTGTGAGAGATTTGAAAGGGAGGCTAATGGAGCTGATTTTGCCTGAGGAATCACAATCAAC